TATAGCGAACTTTTAATATAATGAATTTTTGAATAAATATAATAAAAATACTCTTGTTATAGCGAATTGGCCAATCAAATTTCTTAAAATCTTCACTATTGCCTTATAGTGAAGTTAAGATCTATGATATAGAGTTTGTTATAACAAGAGTTGACTGTAGTTTGATCAAATTATATATAATTATAAATATATAAGATTTTTTAATGTTATTATATTCTATTTTTTTGTAATGTATTTTATTTTTTTTATATTATATTTTACTATTAAGAATGGTTAGAATAAATAAAAGTATTAAATATTCTAGATTTACTTTTAAAAAAAGAAATTAGTCAATTTATGAAAAATTAATATTTTTGTATTTTTTAAATAATTCAAATAGATTATATTATTACAAAATATTTTAATTTATAGCTAAATTAAGTTTATGATTGAAGGAAGAAAAAAGATCAACTTAAAGCTCTGCATTTCATTTATTAAAATTACATAAAAATAGATAACCATTTTTTTTGAATTTAAAAAATAAGTTAGTAAATTTAATTTTAAAATATCAAAAATAAATTCTTTTAATTATTAGAAATATGGTAGTAAAAAAAGCTAAAGAATTTGTATAAACTGATAAATATCAAGAAAAATATTCTAACATTTCTTCTTTAAATTTCTAAATAAATGAATAAATTATTATAATCTTTTAAATTGTTAAAGAATAACAGTATTTTAGTATTTACCAAAAGACTAACTTGAAAAATAACAGAATTTTTTAAGTTTTATCTTTTATAGAAGAATATAATATGATTATCTATTTCAACTTATTGGTAATATAGATAAATCACCTGTAACCTTTGATTTATCTAATTTATATATTTTATAAAAATACAATTCTAATATAATTAGTATTAAAATTACTGAACATAAAGAAGCATATTTACAATTATTTTAAGTTATATAGTTGATAGATTAAAATTGTCATCTGATGTTATTTTTAAATTAAAAAATATCTTTAAAGAAATATTTCTTAATGGTATATTTATAAATATAAATATAAAAAAGTATATAAAATAATTTAATAAATAAAAAATATCTGATTAGACGAATTGTTAATGATTTTAATTTTAATTTACTTCTTATTTTAGATTCTTTTACAATTATTTAATTAACTTTATTAAACAAAAATTATATATCAATTAATAAAAGCTTTAAATAAAATATAAGTATAATTAATTAAGGAAAAATGTATTTATAACATTTTGTTATATTTCTTATTTATAATACCCTTTTTATTATTCTTAATAATAAATTATTTTATTAAATATTTTATAAACAAGATTTTTAAATGCAAATTTTAATTTAGAAAACTTTTACTTAATATATTAAAAATAGTTTCATAGACAAAATTTTCAATTACAAACAGTTTTTTGAAATTTTTTAAAAAAATTCTTATTTTCATTACACAACTGATCTTTTGTTTTGATTTACTAAATTATTAATGTTTCTAATCTTAAATTTTGATTAGATAAAATTTGGATGTTATAAATAAGACATGTAACAGGATGTTATAATTAGATTTATCTATTAATTAATTTTTATTTATTTTTATATTTATTATTATATAAATTAAAAAAATTTTAATTTAATAGATTTATAAACTTTATAATAAATAGATAATAAATAAATTTATGAATTAATTTTATTTAGATGTATTAAAAACTTTTATATTTTTTGATATATTTATGAGTAAAAATTATATAAGAAAAAGTAATACAATTTTAATTTATAAATTATTTAACTGTTATAATATTTTAATTAAAACTGATAATTCTGAAGGTAACATGATTTTTAATTATAATAGTCTTATAGCAGATGAAAAAAATAATAAGTTAATTAAAGATAATAAAATTTAAGAAAAGGATTATAATAATTAAAATAAAATTAATTTTGCTAATATTTGAATAAATAATAAAATCTGATTTTAAATTTTTAAATTGAATAAAATTTGAATTTAATAAATAAATATTATAACAATATATTAATTAAATAATATATATAGTTTATAGCTATTTTCTGATTAAAACAAAATACTTTTATATAAATTATTTAAATCTTTTATAAAATTTTAACCTAAAATTTTAAAAAAGTATTTTAATTAAAAGATTATTTTATCAGTATTCTATGATAACTGTTTTTTATCTTTATTGCTAAAGTTTAAAGTTTTACTTTTTATTATTTTAACTCTAGCACTGTTTAGACAAATATTAGAATATAAATACTATTATATATATTTTAAAAATCAAATATTTTGATATTTAACTTAAGTCTATTAAAATACAAATTATTATGAGTATCTATTTTCTATACTTTTTATATTTCATTCATAATCACCTTAAGTTTATTAAACTAATTTTGCATTTTTATTTCATTTTAATTTAGTTCAAGCTTATTAATTATATTCCTTTATTTAAGTTTTACAAAAAAAATTCTGATAATAATATTTAATTCCATTACTATTTACAGTAATAATTATTTTGATTTCTGTGATATACTTTGATCAATTTTTTATAATATTTTAGAGGAATGTCTTTCTAAGCATCTTTAACATATTTTTAAGTTCTCAGATATTAGATAGTAGGGAGAATGTAATGTCAAACTATTATCTTCATTTTTAGTCAGAGATTTTTATTATGTTCAAGTTTAAACTCTGGGTAGGTCACAGAAGTATTATAATTTCAGCATTTTCACAAGCAGTATTAGTAATTTTTGAATAGTGTGATGTGGTATTATCTTAAAAGATTTCATTATCATGAGAAAAATAATTCTGTAAGGTAAGAACAACATATTTTTGAATAGTTCAGCATGTGTTTTATGAGTAACAGAAACTTTTAAAGAAACAATTGGTCCAAACATATTTTTGTCAAATGCCTAATTGTGTAATAATATCAATTTTCTATTAACTGTTTTTAAGTACATACTTTCTCTAATTGCATGTACTGTACATAGCTGGTTCCAAGGCTTTAATTTATTAATTAAATATACCTTTATTAAAAAATTAATATCGTATAACTCCGATAATAAGCACAGTGACATTCTCCTTTTATAGTAATTTATTTATTTAATTAATCGTCACGTTTATACTAACAAATGCATATATATCACAGGTGCTTATTCTGCTTATTTTCGATTTTCGGTATTACTGTAGTTGAATTATAAAAAAAAGTAGTACAATTTTGAACCAAAATTCGATGCATGTTTCTGTACTTTAATAAAGATCTAGAACCGCGGCGGCGCTATTTGTTTCTTTATAAAGTTACACAATAAAAAGATTGAGCACGCATTAAACGTGACCATTAAGATCATCAAATTTAAAGAAATAATCTTTTTAAAAAAAGAAACAAACAAATTGCGTTTGAACATTGGTTGTTATTGAAGGTAATTAGACATATTTTTTTATTTAAATAACATTAGAAATAAAACACTCCCCTACTGTAAGATTGCAGCCAAAGCTGGTACGCACCCCATGTAACATCATGCTGCTCCATTATATACAGCGAAAAGAAAAGAAGAGAAAATTCGACAATAAAAACAAAGTTAGGAGAGCAAAATTTATTTCAAAGGTTGAGGTCAGAGAACAACCTTTTTTACAATAACTGTAAATATAAAAAGTTTTTCACTGGTAGAATTTGATTTCGAAATTAAGTAACTTTATGTTTTAAATTCAACCATCAACCGAAATTCATTCTTCAATCATTTGCTTTTACATACTTATCGTCACTCAAAAAAAAAAATTAACGATATATAATAAGAAATATTTGTATCTAAATATTGTAGTAATTACTAAGTTACAGTATATAAAACTAATTTACCCCCACGATATGATTGGCTGGTATATAGGTTGGCGTGACACTGGTGATGTAATGTAAAAAAAAGCATCAAAATATAAATATAAATAAATAGGGGTAGAATTTCTTGGCGTAGTACTCACATGAACAACCCTATGTTGGTGTAACAAAAACAGGAGCAACGGCGATAAACCTATTAAACTTGACGTAATACGTGATAAATCGTTTGTTTTTTTTTTCTCTCTTTCTTGCTGTCTTCAACACTTTAATGTTAGGAAAGTAAATTTCAACTTGTAGGTGAAAAAAATCTTTTATAATAATGGAAAATTATCAACAAAAAATCGATGACCTTTTAAGAAAAGCTAAATCTCAAGGTATATTTATGAAACTGGATCGTACAACAAAAAAAAAGATCGGGATTTAACATTACTTTAATGTAGGCGCTGCGAGAGCTGCGAGAGCCAATAAACCTTTTATTACTAATATTGTAGTTGCAGAAAAACCTAGGGAGGATCTAAAATCTTTAAAAGATATTTGGAGGGGTATGGACGCTACGGGTGAGCGTTGAAATTAATGAACGAATATCATGGTTATATTTCTCACAAACATATATCACTACACTAGACTCCAGGAATACCACGCCAACAATTGGGTTTCGCAAGACAGGAAAGTCAACTAAAGGTAAAAAACCAACAAAATCGAGTACTCGTAATAAGAAGAATCGAACAAATTGGCAGCCATATCATCACTCCAACATGGTAGTTAAAAACTTTATTTGATGAATTCAAAAAAAAAAAAAAAAATAGTAATACTAAATTCCATCGTTATGTAATTAACATATTAGGAAAACGTCCCGGTTCGGTCACCAACTTTTTCTGAAAGTTCCAGTATGAGTACCGATGAAGACGGGGACGTATTGATGTTGTCAGCTGCATCCACTCCAACAGAAATAACTCCTACAAACAGAAAATTTCTAAACAATTACTTTCCAAAGGGCAAACGCAAACCAAGATCAGCCGAATTTATTATCGGTGATAAGTTGAATGATGCATCACCTGATACTTTGCGAATTTTTAATGCAATTCAATCCAATGATTCCAATGGAGAGCTCGACTTGGATAAAGAATACAAGTTGGATAACGTAAGTATATATTGTTTAATATTTGCCTTTGAGTTGTTCCATCTGTGATTAACACATGATTGCATAAATTACAGCCCTTCCTAATTACTAAGTCAAATTAGCCATTTTAAATATTTAAATTGAGCAGGGAAGTGATGATATTTTTTATATAATCATTTCCTAAAAAGGAAATACGTCACGTTTTAAAATGTAAAATTTATATATATTTATTTATTTATAATATATATATTTTTTTATTTAAGCATTTCATTTGCATCCCTTAAAAAAAAGGGTACTGTAAAGTAATTTGAGTTACAAAATCTTGTAATGTTTGTAGCACAAGTTGTGACATTCTTTTTGTTTACATGCACGCAATGAAAACGAAATACATGAAATACAGGAATTCTTCCTGATAATGCAAGTAAAATTTTTATTAGGAAAAAATTATCAAAAAATTTATAGATTCTTCTTCATTCTTATTGTAAAAGATAAAAGTGATTTTCTTTTGCTATGAAAGTAAATTCATTGGTCAGAAGATCATAAAATTGAGAAATAGATCAAAAATAAAAAATTTAATAGTTGTACGGATATGCATGCGCGCATAGACTCATACAGACTTAAAATTACGAACGCTTTTTACAACGAACTTAGATGAGATATTATTATTCGATAACGGAAAAAAATTAGATCCTAAAGATCAACATCAATATAAATAAATGTGTTACCACACAACTTTTTGTAATAAAATAAAATAGGATTTTTCGTACAACTTACCGAATTTGATTTGCTAAATGAATATTTTTTGGTTTATGGCTGGTAAACGTGGTCTATCTGTATAAAATTTATATAAATGATGGGTTTCTTTTTTGAAATGTTTGAAATTTTTCATTATTTTTACAATAGAATAAGTTCATATTTATTATATATCACGCGTGCTCATACAATAAATTTATTTACATTTTCAAAATATTCTTTTAGTCATGAAAAATATACTTAATATAAATGAAGACAAAGTTTCTTTGTTAAACGATGATTTGACAAGAACAAGTGATTACGGAACGTTTAATGAACAGCCTTCAATAATCAATGAGCTACAAAAAAACTCACAACAAAGTACCAAACTTGAATGTGGTCAAAGTTGCTTTATTAATCCCATAGCTGGTTGTGCAAAACTTTGTGGATCTATACCTTCCCCAACAACTTTAGTCGTCAAAAACAGCGGGTCCACCGCCCGTGACAATTGCTGTAAGTAATAGTAAAATGGGGATTTTAAACTTACTTTATCGTTTGCTTTACCTTTTTTAATCAGTACGCTTTACCTTTTTTTAGCAATAGAAAGAACTTTTTTGTCTTGGTTGCGCATGTCAACAACTCTGGTATTGCTTGGAATGTCTTATTTCTTACGTTTTGAAACAATTTCACAACCTTCTGCCAATGAAAACTCTTATTCAAAACTACTCGGCTTATTTCTCATCGGATTGGGATTTACCGTGTTAATATGGGCTCTATGTAATTATTTTCAATTTCAACGATTATACGCATCTAGATACGCATTTATTGAGAATGGCGTACTTTCTTTTTCGATAGCTGCATTGGTGGGTGCTACCATTTTTTCGTTGCTAGTTTGTGATATCTTGCAAGATGTGGAGCAAGAGGATAAAATAGAAAATGGTACTAATTTATATACCATAAGTTTTATTAGATGATGGGAAAAAAAAAGATAGTTGATAAAAAAAAAAAACGACATTATTTTTATTAATTAAATAATTTAGCATATGTAAAAAAAACCACATCACAAATGTTGTACCTAAATTACCTACATATATTAAAAATACATTGGCGATTTACATGCATTATCACCTTTTACAGACATATTACACATTAAGGGTTTTGTCATCTGTTAAAAAAAAAGGGAAACCAAAAAAAGGAATTCTGTTTTGTTGTCTTGATTTGCATGTGTTGTGATGAGGCGAAAATTTAATCGAACCATTAAAATATACTCATTCGTCTCTATGAGCCGAATCCAATAACTATTTGGTTTGTTAGCTGGTTATTAAGATATCCAAGTGAAGGTCGGAAGCTGTGTAACATGCCCATTGAACCGAATTCTCTGTTATAGAAATAAGGGAAACAACGCAAAACATTGGTGTTTCGGGAATTTTCCGAAAAAATTTAATAAACAAAAAAAAAGATAAAGTTTAAAATATTATATAATCCAATAATAATTACACGTGAAAGTTTTCTAATCTAATCATCTTTTTTTCTAGATTTCACTTAATAACAAACTATTTTCGAGAGTTTTTATTTTCATTGAAATTATTTCGTTTACAATAAATTTATTCAATTAAATCAAATTGTCTTCTTAAATAAACAAATTAAAATTGTTTTTTAAATTGATTGTATTTTAAATTTCTATTCAAATTCATTCTCTTATTTATAGATTTTTAATTTTTAATTATTATTAAATTATTTATACTTATAAATCTTTTATTATTGATTTATTATTATTTTTCAACAAAATTACTTTATTATCTCTCATTTCACTTCACTTATTTCAATATATAAGGTCAAAATTATAATACGATTAAATTTAAAAGAAATAATAAAGTCAAAAGCAAAAAAAAAATTTAATAATAATTCTATAATAAAATTTAATTCTGTTTTAATTTTCTTTTCATATTCTTATTTTTCTTTATTTCTTCACTAAATAATATTATTATAAAATCCTTCTTAAATAATATTTAATTAAAAATTTTTTATAACGGAGTTCTTTATTAAATGATATCAAATTAAAAAAAATAAACCCATTATTAAATATACTAATCAAATTTAATGTTTAATAATTTATAACAGTTAATATAAGTTTATTTAATACATTTAAATATTACAAAAATTATATTAATTTATTAATATTTTACTAATAATTTGTTTAAAGTATTAAAATTTGAAAATATATTATACTAATATATTTAAACAACTTTTAATTATAAATATCTTTTAAAAAAATCTTTTAATTAACATTTTTATTCTATAATAATCTAATTAGATATCATTAAAATATAGAACTTCCTATTAAATAGAATAATAAAATTAGAACTCTGAATTAGGTCAAATCAACCTATTTACCTGATTTGATTTGACCTAAAAATCCAGGTCAGATAAATAAATTTTCAGGTTAATATCATGTCAAATCAACAAGTTAAACTGATCTGATGACCTAATAAAATTCAGGTTAATTAAACATTCTTAAATGATAATTTTATCATTTTTAAATAATAGTTTTATCATTCTTAAACAATGTAATATCATTTAATTAGAACAATTCATTATCATGCTTTTTAAATGATAACTAATTATTCTTCTTAAACAATCAGATCAGATCAGGTTAAATGAAAATTAAAATCAGGTCAGATTTTTATTTGACCTGATCTAATCTTTTCAGTTTAGGTAATTTAATTGACTTGATCTTAACTGATCTATTTAGAACTTTAAATAAAATATAAACTTTTTTAAAGAGAATTTTAATATAAAATATTAATATATAAATATTTTACGATAGAACTTAAATTATATAAAACTATTAATTATTTGTAAAATAAAAAGATAAATAATTTCTATTTATATATAGGTGTATTCTATATAAGTCACATAATACTACTAGTATTAATATTTTTTTTACTAATATAAAGAAATTAAGAAATTACTTGTATAATAATTATGTAATAGATAAAATGTAATGAATAAGAAATTTTCACTAAAAAAATTCTAAGTTTTTATAATAAATGATAAAAACTAAAAAAGAATATGATATCAATAATAAATATACGTCACATTATATAAGTATATACATCCTATGTAAACTTAGAAATTTTTAAAAAGATATTATTTTAAATAAATATTCATTTTATATTTTATTATTAAAATAAATAACTTACTCTATATATATATATATCATTTTAAAAGATTTTTATATATTTAATGCAAATTAATAAATTACTAATTAAATTTTATTTTGAAAATGAATTGTATTTTAACAAATATAATTATTATATTAATAATTATAATAAATATCAAATTAATATAATTGATTTTGATATCTTCAAAATTAATTAATACTAAAGTATAGATGTATTTTAAATAAAAAACTTTTCAATTTAAAAAAAGCATAATTTTCAAAATTATATTATTATTAAATAAATGTAAAGATAAATTTTAGAATAAATTTTTTTAATATTACTAAATCTATATTTTTTTATAAACTATTTTAATACAATTTAAACAATTTAATAAAATTGTATTTAATATAACACAATTAGATATTATATTAAAAAAAAATAAAAAAAATACGAAAAACTCTTTCTGCTGATCTCCAATTTCAATATGACCGGAAAAAAAAATGGAAATAACAATAACAACAACAAGTCTAACAAGACTCGCTCTTCTTCTCCTAACAACGACCAATAGCAACGACCTGCTAAAAAACAGTTTATTGAACTTCCTCAACCAACTGAAGCTTCGTCTTCAAAAGATATTTTAGAAAATGTCACGTCCTCTGACATGGAACTTGACACGACTGTTCGTCCACTTAGCGACAAAGGAAAAGTACCTGAAACTTCCTCGTCCCCTCCAAAAGCCCCAATAGATATCGACCAAGCTTTTGACGCCACTGAAAATGGCCTTGATAATGATAAAAATAAAATAAGTGGTATTCACCTTGAACGAGAAACGGAAGCTCCAATTTACTTTACCTACTGCGTCGCTGAACTTTTCTTTCCAGCCAAACCAATTGAGAAAAACAGAACGAGGCATGTGATATATTCACATCACATTATGCCTCTTTCATTGGTGCATCAGTACGCACTCACCCTGATGACCCCAAAAAAAAAATTGTCCGAATTGGATTTACCTTGTGCAAAGAAGCCAATCACGCAGTCACCCTCAAAATTCCTTTTTTGGATAATAACACGTTTTCACCCCTGATCACTAAACCAGCCGCAAAATACATTCCAGATTTGTTATCAGAGTAACAAATATCCTGATCTCTACTACAGAATCAAACTTGAGATCTACATTCTCCTTTTTCAGAAAGATCACCAAATGTACTATGTCTACCAAAAATTTATGGCAACAAGCAACAATTACTTTTGAAGAAAACACAGACATGACCACCCTGAATAAACTTAACAGTTACTTCGTCCTAAAAGATCTTGTCCGAGTTCATCCTTGCACAATGTCGAATGAAGATGTCAGGAAAAAATTCCAATTTTCCCTTAAATTCACGAACTTACCTCTTGACACCAACGGCTATCATCTTATCTCGATTGGCAATACAATTGACACTATCGCTTGGGTCATCCCTAAATCACGTGCTAACTATCGCAACCTTCAGTATGCTATCTTTTACTTTAAAGACAAAAAAACGATGGATGTCGTCAAAAACGGAGAGACTTTCTATCTTGATAGAAAAAGATTAATCTGAGCAGACCCGAACTCAAAGTTATGTTTCATTTGCCAAAGATTCCAACCGGCGCAATTCCGCAATTATTGGGCCCCTATTAATAAACCCAAACCATTTAATCCTAATAAATCGACACTAAACACAACGGATCAAACCAACAAAGTTCTATTAAAACAAAATAATGACCCAAAGAACCCATATACAAATCCTAAACCTGTAAATATTACTTCCAAACAGCCAACTAACAAACCAAATCCCCTCCTACTTTTCAGTCTAACAAACCCAAGTAACCATTTAACAACAAGGGTGAAGAAACCTTGGATGCAAGTATCCATGCTCACAGTTCTTGAGCGGACGACTATGATCATAATTATAATTACCGTCATCCTAATGACAACAACGATCAAAATGAACAGCCTGATATGCTAATCAAAATTTCCAACCAACTTGAAACCATTACAAGTCAGTTAGCCAAAATGGATCATGATATATATTGCACCATTGAAAGAGTTAAAGCTGTCGAAACCATTCTTAATATTGATACGCTTTTACCCCACCAGGCCGATCTACTTAATAAATACTTTAATGAAAATGGCATGGAAACTGAAGAAGAACATGAATTTGTAGTTGGCCCTAACATCAAAGATAATATAGTC